ACACACAGACAGACAGACACACACACACACACAGACACACACACACACAGACAGACACACAGACAGACACACAGACAGACACACACACACAGACAGACAGACAGACACACACACACACACACACACACAGACAGACAGACACACACACACACACAGACACACACACACACAGACAGACAGACACACAGACACACACACACACACTTGGGCTACAGCTCTTCATTCATAGGCAATGCTCAGTTCCCACGTATAAATACACAAATGTATAAATTTATATATGAAATACATATTTTCTGAACATAATTTCAGAAACATTAATATAACTGACACTCTAATGTCTAAAGTGTGACCTCAGCGCTTTCAGATAAGGTCAGGCGCCCTGAGAGTCGCCGCCGGTAGAGACAGCCCAGACGCCGTGCTCTGGGGAGCGGGAGGCCCCAAGCGCCATGTGCCAGAACGAGCCTGGAACGCGCGGGAGCGTCTGCGCGGGAGCGTCTGCGCGGGAGCGTCTGCGCGGGAGCGTCTGCGCGTGACACGGTGCTGCCCGGGGACGGTCCCCCGGCAGGACGCTCCACGGGCCTCTTTCATGTGGCTTCGCTGTGCCGGACAGGACGACTTTCATTCCCACACAAATGAGCAGTCAAACGTAAAAATGCAAGACGTGCCACGAAAACACAGCTATTTATAGCTCCGAATTACACATGTATGCAAACTTCATATTTGACTTTTTACTATAACTGGGAGAAACCTTCCTGTCATCAATGGTCGGGGACACGAATCTTCTCTTGTTTGGAGTTTTGAGGTCAAGCTCAAGCTCTGTTATTTAAAAACGTCTTTTAAAGTGACGATTACACGTAAAACGGAGAAGTAGATATTTTAACCTGAGAGACACATCAGAGGAACTGAGAAAAGATCAGAGGCACCATATGTGTTTCGGGGGAGAAAGACGGCAAGGACATGCAACCGATCCAGCATAAAACAACCATGGACTGCAGATTAAACACGCACATGGGGGGGGGGGGGGGGGGGGGGAGAGATCACCTGCCTGCCAAGACTGTCAGGGTGGGTCAGGATTACTGAGGGCGAGGCATGACATTAGGTCACGTAAGTGCACAGGAAATGATACCAATCCTCCCCACAACCAGGGATGATGGACCCACCCATCCATGCCTCATTACAACTTATGCAGTACGGGGTCATGGTGAGCCTGTACCAAGAGGCATGGGGAACGGGGGGAGCCTAAATGTCCATCACAGGGCCATGTAATGAGGTTTTTTTTCCCCATTTCTTTTGGATACAATTAGTTATAAAGCTCTTTAAAACGTATAATGTATAATTATTGTCCTAATGCTGGCAAGGTTGTAACCCAACCTGAATGGCAACTTTGTATATCTGTCATCATTTGTGTGCTTTCTATATATAACTGTGCAAACTATACAACAAAAATGCATTATTACTGAACTGTATATTTTCCACCACATTCTTTCACAAAAAAACAAGGAAGAACCAGCATCATCTGACTGAAACAGCCACAGAGGAATGTAAAGTAAAGGACTCAGTGTTTCTGCTGGAGCTCATGTGATCTGCCTTTATTATCCTGTATCAGATGCGTCGTCAATCGTTTTTGAAACATGCAAGCCCCCCCCCCCCACCCTCGTCTGAGTCCTCAAGTTCTCTGATTGGCTGCAACTGCAGGCAGCAAGTTGGGCAAAGCGGAGTGCAGCGGCCCGCGGCTGAGATGACCTCCGGCACCTCGCGATCACCCCCCCCCCCCGGCGGCACGCGACAGCGTAATGCCATGTGACATTAAGGCACGCAAAGCTACTGGCACGGCACGGTCCCTGCGGCGTCATCACGCGCCAAACATGAGGACTAGGTGTTAACGAACTTAACGAGAGTGCGGCAAATAAAAGCTGACATGTGTCGGCTCAATCTAATCAGACGGAAATTAAAATAAACAAACAAACTCATCAGGAAGAGGGGAGGCAGGAGCTCACAGAACTTTCCGGACGGCCAGTGGTCTTGACTCTTGAGCAAGGAGCCGGCCAAGGGCCACGGCAACAGGATTGTGACATGCATGGTGGGCAGCGTCACCCCCTGCGCGAGGCGGCCCCCGTGTGTTTGCCCATATTACCCTCTCCCCTCCCCTTTGATGTCACATTGAAAAAGGCAGGCGGGGCTTGATGGACACACGAGCGTAACAGCAGATGGGGGTGCGGTGATGGAGCGTCGGAGGATGACAGGAGCGCTAACGAAGGTGACGGGACGGCATGTCGTCCCAGGACCACAATGGCAACCAATCAAGAGACACATTAGGTGGAACTGATCAGATACAAAAACAGTTCAAAGACAGATAATGGCGACAGGCGACGGGACTCCACAGGAAGAGGCGCGCAAAGGCTGACATGCCAGGAATGATACATATTGATAGGATTATCTAGCAGAGATGGGGAAAATAAAACCTACATGCATCCTTGTAATATCACAAATGCGCCTCTCCCCACAGCGCACTGATGTCAGGGACAATTTCCTGGAAGGAGAAGCACGTTACACAGAGTCAGAAGCGTCTGCTCATCCCTGCCGCTCCTACGCCTAACGAGAGCCGACTGAGGAACAGAGGAGCGGCTCGTCACGGACGCGCAGATGCTCACAAGACGTCCGTGTAAAAG